CTTTAAGATCATAAAACTACATTATTATATTGATAATTAAATATCCCTTATTATATCAATTACAGCCTGCATATAGTATATATAGCATATGATTTCATAAAAGGGTTATATGCAAAAAAAAAAAATAATAAATAAATAGCAATAAACTTTTACTAATTTGCTTATTGTAACATCCTGCTTTTATTTCTTCCTATTGCAACATTGTACTTTTAAATTCAATCTGACTATAGCTATATTATCTATATCCAGAGACTCTTACAGTATGGGTAAATCAACCTCCTATCCAATACACTTACTCCAAGAAGGGTAAAATGGGTAAATCTTTATAATAATCAGGTGTTTTTGTATTTTTATTAATTATTCTGGTAGGAAAAAGATATCATATGTGAAGTTAATGGTTTGAAATGTTTGAGGAAGTAAACATATATACATACCGCCTGTTTTAGATAACATCCAATAGTAAGCTCAAAATAATTTCCCAATGAAACTTCACAATACGGCTGCTGTTCCTCCAAGTAAACATTTGGATTAGATCTCATCATGTCTGGTATTTCATCCGTTATCTTGCGCACCTTCTCCAACTCATCCTTTTCCACATAAATCTTTGAAACCATTGCATGCCATGGAGGCATGGGTTTGTTCACAAATACCTATAAAAATTAAAATTACTTTTACCATTACATAAAAACTTTCACGGGTAGTCATGAAAAAGACTCGATGCTCACCTGACCACAAAGCATGGAATATGGAACTATTGTGCTTTGCCGTGATTCATTCATAATAACCTATAAAAAAACACTTTATTATAACAAAAAAAAAATGAAGGGTAATGATGAGAGACTCGTTGCGTTCACCTGACCATAAAACCAGGAAGTTGGAACTGCTAAAGGACGGTTTGTGTCGGTAATCAATGAGGTGGTTATAAGTCCCATCTCAATAACCTGACATTTCAAATATCCAACCTGCACCCAAAATACTCGAAATAAGAACGAATTCATACAAGAGTTTAAATAAGGGAAAATTAATTGACATACTTCTATATGATCTCCATTCGAAAAGGGTTTGTCTTTTAGTACTGCAAACCCATACATGATATTGTCAAAAAAACCTCTAGATGCAAAAACAGCAGCAACCCCTAAAAAGGTAGAGTAACACGCATTCGATTTCAAAACTCCTAAAACAATACAGATTTTAAGATATTTATTAGTTGAAACTATATATATATATATATATATATATATATATATATATATATTATGCAAGGCAGATAAAGTTACGTACCTTCTGTAGCAGAAAAAAAATGCATAGCGGCCTCCCAGGCTTTAGGCAAAGCGAAACCAATAATAGCAACAAGGCCATACAAGCCATAAGGTGGTTGAGATGTTGAATCGGTTACATCTTTACGTGCATATGATGATGATGATGATGAATATACACGATGTTTCAACATGTGATTGGTTGCAACAGTAGAAGAAATTCTTAAGATTGAATTTGATAAACGACATGGGATTAAGTCCATCTTATTGTTTGGTTTTGTACCAAAATGGATCTTATTGCTTGTACCAAAATTACTCTTATTATTTTCACCTGTACAAGGATTATACACCCTACACCAAGGTTTTGATATCACCAAGCTTATTCCACTCATTATTCAATCTTCTACCTATATCTATATCAATCAATAACATCAACAAAAACCATTATAAAACATAATAATAATAATAATAATAATAATAATAGTAACATTAATATAAACTAACCACATTCTTCAAGTCTGTCAAACTAATACAAGATTACTTAAATTCTCAATCTATAATATGCTAACCCCGTGCATTGCAATCATAAACACAATAAATAATTCAATTGTAACAGAAATCAAAACTCTAGTCTCTCTTTTTAGCATTCTGCTTTCAAACAGCTATATACCAACAACAAACAAGCTAATAACTAAATACCCAGGTATTTGAAACGTTAAAGTTGATTAAAATAACATAAATAGGCAAATAAAATGTTAGTATGCATCATGAGATATACCTACCCTATGCAGATTTAAATCAAACCACAGAAACATTAAAATATTTACAATTACATTTTGTTCCTTCACCAGAAAAGATACATTTCGGTTATATGAATTTACAGGGTTTTTGGCTAAGCTTATTAAAAGTGATTTTAACTTTTTAACTTATATTTAAAACAGAGTTTTTTAAAAATGTGTTTGGCTAAGCTTATACCGTGTCAAAACGCTATCAGCTGATAAGCCATTTTTAGTGTTTGGCAAAAAAAAAAAAAACTGCTTATATGTGTAAATTTACCAAAAAGGGCTTCCTTTTATATTATGACTTATTTTTCTTATAATAACTAACATTTTTTTTAAAACTAATAACAATTGTTTAGGCTTAAGTTTCTTTTTGGATATACCACCATCAACAAGATTATCATGGTTGGTGTATCACATAAGCATCTTAAGATCATCATTCAAAACAATGTCTACGTTCCAGTTATGAACACAATCTGTATGTCCCTGTTAACAGTAGCAATTGCAGTTTCACATATACACATAACCTATTGCAGTTTCACATATACATCTAAAGGATTGAAGAAAATCGAAACAAGGAAAGGATTGAAGAAAAGCACACAGATTTCGATTACAACAACTAATATGATTTCGATTTCAACTGAAATCAGGGGAAAAAGTAAAACCTAGAGCAGCCAAAATGCAAATGCAATTGAACGAAAGCAGGAAAAGATTGAAGAATATCGAACCTCAAGCGAATCTGTAGAGTGCGACGGCGATGGAAATCGTAGTAATAGGGCGGCAAGCAATCGGGAATCGCTTGAGGAGCGGACTATAGAGGAATGGAGGCGTGCTGTGTGTTTCTTTTGGTCTGTGTCGCAATATATCAACGAAACCTTTTATTAGGTGGAGGGGTATATTGGTCAAAACTCGAACTAACATCTCGGGCAAGCCCAAGATCTTGGATATAGTCAGTATCTTGGACAGCCATCGTATTTCTTATGATATCTTATGCTGAATTTTAGAGCTTGACAAGAAAAGAATGGACCATGTCAAACCATACGTGGTTAATGCCTCATGAACGTTGGAGACCATCGTAAGGGTCAAGCGTGGTTTAAGGAAGATTTCAAGAATGTCAGAATTATAGTTATTATTGTTATGTATATAAAGACTAGATTATCATCATTCACACACACACACACACTCTGACGATCAATTTCTCTCTGATTCTTTCGAAACTTGAGCACATTTACTTCGTTTCTAAGATCAGCTAGAACTTGTAACTTTATTTCGATTTAATATAAGTTAAAAGGCATGTGATTTCATGACATCCTGAAGTTTTATGCTGGAGATCCAAAAGGATTAAGGGCATTCCTCCTAATCAATTGTGTTCTTGCATTTACTTTCAGTTATTTGTTGTTACTCAATCAACAACTTATTCTACTTTTACTAGATTGTTAACATGTTTTCATTGTCGAAATCACTAAGATATCTTTTGATATCTTAGCACCTTTTTAAGTATTTTAAACTTTATTATGCAAATTTACGTATTAGTTCACTTTAACATTATTTTTGTCCCAAATACACTTATTTATATTACGAAATACAACACTTTATTAAATAGTTTTGTTAACAATATTGTTTTCTTCCCATGATCTTAGGCAAGACCAAGATCTACGACACATTTCAAGATTTTTAAGTTCTTAAAGCACTTTACTTTCATTTATCTTATTTCAAACATCACACCACACTTACTAATTTGGTTACGAAATCACACCACACTTACTGATTTGGTTACGAAATTGCTTTGTTAATTTTTATTATACAATAGTTAGTAGCCCAATAATATGATAATTTAATTTAAAATATAGAAAAATGAAACATGCACACATAACATTGCAATATGACACAATTTACGAAGGTTATTTAAGTTTATATTAAAAACCCAATTAAGATGCTCTAGAGTGTTGTCATCTTGTTAGCATAAGTTTGACAACAAAATGCTTTCAATTAGGGATGTGAGCACATAGGATTGATGTCAAGGTTGTGAAAATCGTTTGACGGTAACTCGGCAGTCGATTGACGATAAGCGATTAATTGGACTAGGTGTGAATTAATCAGGGACCCTAAACTATTAATAAAATTAATTAAAAATTAATATTTCCTAAAACATTAAGTATTTAAAATTTTAAAATTTTAAAATTTTGAAATTTTGAAAATTTTAGTATATTATTTTAAAATTTGAAAAACTTAAAATTTTGAAAATTTAAAATTTTGGTTTAATATCTGAAAATTAAAAATTTTGAATTTTTTAAATATTTTCCGCCTATGACCGCTAAGCCCGATTTTGACCGATTTCCGCCAAACACCCTAATCGTAATCAGTTCAAGACCGTCAGACAATTAATCGGCCGCCAAAACCGATTTGTGCAACACTGATTGATACACGATCCCAAACTGGTCTGGTATCAGAACCGGAGCTTAACCTGTACCGATTAAGCATATATAGTCCGTCACTAGTTCTATGATTTTGGAGAAAATGATATTAAGTTATTTGGTTCCGATAACATGGAAAAAAGCAATCCCAAATGTAAGCATGTTTTGAATTGGTATTGATGAACTTCACATAGTAATTGAAGAATTCTTGATCTCCATGTTCAATTAAAATACCATATAAGCCATATCACTCTACATGAAATTAAAATTAAATACCAATAGTAATAGAAGAATTATTTACATTCACGTTTCCTTCAACAGCACCCATATTTTATGTTTGATTTATAACTATGCCATCTTGATTACAATTATAGTTGATTCTTTTGCCTTCAAAAGGTCTTACCTAGTAACGTCTTATGACCTTCCATTGCCTTCTTCTCTTGGATTTGTATTTATATTAACGATTGGATTGGATGTTTTAATTTTAATTCAATAAAGCAGAAGAATTGGCAAACACCTGGTGACCCTTTTTAAATTTAATATAAGCAATGACAATTGAAATTTTAATTCATGATAACTGACACTTCATTTTATATACCAAATTGATGCATATAATTTAGAGTATTACAACCTCATTTTTCTATCAACAACCAAAACCAAAACCAAAAGCAATGTACATAAAAGGTTTCTGTTAAGGTTTTGCGATTACTCCAAAGAAAGAAAATCTAGTTCATATCTAGGTAGGCCCCATGCTTCTTCATTATCTGAATCGCCTGCCTAAAGATATCATACTTAGCTGAATAAAACTCGTCTTTACACTGCATAATATAATAGGACATAAGAAAATTTTAGATGAATTCTAGAAATTCAACATCTACCATCTTACTTTCTACTTATTTGTATATTCTAGCATCCTACTTTTAATCAAGACATTATATTTTAAAAAATCTATAAACATGTTTCAATTTCTTTTACTTACCACTACTTGTAAAAATCAACACTTTTTTAGCAATGAAAATTGTTTTTGCATTTGGACAAAATTGCTATAACTAGGTAGTTTTTCTAGGAACAGTTCTATAATAAAAAAACATTGAAAGCAGAATGCTATAATAAACAATCAATTGAAAGTAAAATGCTATTAAACACCTTATAAAGAATATTATATCCTTCATAATAATTGCATAAAAGAATAGGTAAGTCCATAAATTTAGCTTGATTTTTGACATACAAAATGGTTGCAAATAATATAGATCTTAAAATGGGAGCGTTTGCTGTTTCTTGAGCTATAATCTCAAAACAATTGCAATAACATCATTTTCTAAGATTTTCTTTCACAAAATTTCAAATGTTGACTTTTTATGATCCATCAATAACACTAAAAAGTATTAATTTGGATGAATTAGATTAATTATCTTGCTTTTTCGTAAATCATCTTAGACATTCAACCAAATTTAAAAATGTCCATCAACGCAAAAAGTTTCATTTATTTGCAAAAAATTGATTAGTGATACAACTTTAGATCAAAGATTCAATCACAAGCTCCAAAACGTTTCTACTATGCTTGAACTTTCTGGATTTTCATAATATCTTGAGGGGAAAAAAGGAAGATCAATGTGATCAGGTGGAGATGTCAGCTTTAAAATTATAAATCAACATTATTATATTCATAACTAAATATAGCAACTATAACTTGCCTGTAGTAGTTAGCATATGATTCATAAAAGGTTATATGCAAAATAAATAAATAAAGTAGACTTTTACTGATTCACCTATTGTAGCAATCCTACTTTCATTTCTTCCTTTAAAAAATCATCCTTACTATATCTATATTATCTATTTACAAAGACTGATATATAATATAAAAAAGTTGAAAGTTTAATGCTATTATTAGGTAGATTTACGAAATATAATGTCTTGATAAAAAATATATTTTAGAATATTATTTGGTAATCGAGGCAAATTATGATTTGAAATGTTTGAGGAAGTATACGTACCCCCTCTTTTAGTTTGCATCCAATAGTAAGTGTGAAACCATGAGGGTCCACTTGAGAAAGATAACAATACGGCTGCTCTTGCTCCAAGTAAATGATTGAGTTAGATCTCATCATGTTTATTATTTCCTCTGATATCTCGGGGATCTTCTCAATCTCGTCAATGCTCAAATCAATCTTGAAAACCATGGCATGAGCTGGAGACCCAGTTATGTTCACATAATCCTATAAAAAAAGACTTTATCAGGGCAAAATACTTTCAAGGGTAGTAATATAAAACTCGATAAACAAAGAATATGAACCCAAAATTTGTACTTAACCAACAAAAAGACTTTATAATGACAAAATAACTTTCAAGGGTACGTAATGATGAAAGACCTGTCCACTAAGCCAGGAAGTAGGAAGTAATGCACGACGGTTTTCCTCAGTAAGCAATGAGGTCGTTATGAGTCCCATATCAATAACCTCACCTTTCAAATGTCCAACCTGCAACAAAAACACTCGAAATAAGAACAAATTCATACTCATACGAAAGATAAAATATATCAGAAAGCTTATTTACATACTTCTATCATATCTCCAATTGAAAAGGGTTTGTTACGTAGTAATGCAAACCCACGCATGATATTGCCAAGAAAGCTTCTAGCTACAAAAACAGCTGCAACCCCTAGAAAGATATAGTAACACGCATTTGATTTCAAAACTCCTGAAAAAAAAAAATACAGATTATGAGAAATTTTGTAGTCGTATTTCTCAGTATATTATATCATTAAAAAAAAGGGGGGGGGGGGGGGGGGACAAGGCAAGGCAGATAAAGTTACGTACCTTCTGTAGCAGAAAAAAAATGCATAGCGGCCTCCCAGGCTTTAGGCAAAGCGAAACCAATAATAGCAACAAGGCCATACAAGCCATAAGGTGGTTGAGATGTTGAATCGGTTACATCTTTACGTGCATATGATGATGATGATGATGAATATACACGATGTTTCAACATGTGATTGGTTGCAACAGTAGAAGAAATTCTTAAGATTGAATTTGATAAACGACATGGGATTAAGTCCATCTTATTGTTTGGTTTTGTACCAAAATGGATCTTATTGCTTGTACCAAAATTACTCTTATTATTTTCACCTGTACAAGGATTATACACCCTACACCAAGGTTTTGATATCACCAAGCTTATTCCACTCATTATTCAATCTTCTACCTATATCTATATCAATCAATAACATCAACAAAAACCATTATAAAACATAATAATAATAATAATAATAATAATAATAGTAACATTAATATAAACTAACCACATTCTTCAAGTCTGTCAAACTAATACAAGATTACTTAAATTCTCAATCTATAATATGCTAACCCCGTGCATTGCAATCATAAACACAATAAATAATTCAATTGTAACAGAAATCAAAACTCTAGTCTCTCTTTTTAGCATTCTGCTTTCAAACAGCTATATACCAACAACAAACAAGCTAATAACTAAATACCCAGGTATTTGAAACGTTAAAGTTGATTAAAATAACATAAATAGGCAAATAAAATGTTAGTATGCATCATGAGATATACCTACCCTATGCAGATTTAAATCAAACCACAGAAACATTAAAATATTTACAATTACATTTTGTTCCTTCACCAGAAAAGATACATTTCGGTTATATGAATTTACAGGGTTTTTGGCTAAGCTTATTAAAAGTGATTTTAACTTTTTAACTTATATTTAAAACAGAGTTTTTTAAAAATGTGTTTGGCTAAGCTTATACCGTGTCAAAACGCTATCAGCTGATAAGCCATTTTTAGTGTTTGGCAAAAAAAAAAAAAACTGCTTATATGTGTAAATTTACCAAAAAGGGCTTCCTTTTATATTATGACTTATTTTTCTTATAATAACTAACATTTTTTTTAAAACTAATAACAATTGTTTAGGCTTAAGTTTCTTTTTGGATATACCACCATCAACAAGATTATCATGGTTGGTGTATCACATAAGCATCTTAAGATCATCATTCAAAACAATGTCTACGTTCCAGTTATGAACACAATCTGTATGTCCCTGTTAACAGTAGCAATTGCAGTTTCACATATACACATAACCTATTGCAGTTTCACATATACATCTAAAGGATTGAAGAAAATCGAAACAAGGAAAGGATTGAAGAAAAGCACACAGATTTCGATTACAACAACTAATATGATTTCGATTTCAACTGAAATCAGGGGAAAAAGTAAAACCTAGAGCAGCCAAAATGCAAATGCAATTGAACGAAAGCAGGAAAAGATTGAAGAATATCGAACCTCAAGCGAATCTGTGGAGTGCGACGGCGATGGAAATCGTAGTAATAGGGCGGCAAGCAATCGGGAATCGCTTGAGGAGCGGACTATAGAGGAATGGAGGCGTGCTGTGTGTTTCTTTTGGTCTGTGTCGCAATATATCAACGAAACCTTTTATTAGGTGGAGGGGTATATTGGTCAAACTTTTGTTTATATCATTTATTTAAACTTTGAATCCAATAACTTAATGGTTTTATTATATTTCATGGATAAGTAATTTAAATTTATCTATAATCGTTGCATAGAAAACAACTATAAATTTTTAGATATATGTTATTTATATATAAAAATGGTGTTTTGAACTTTGATATAATAATTCTTGTAATAATTTAGAATAAAATATTAATTATTTTGAATTTTATATATATATATATATATATATATATATATATAAAATCTCACTCGTCTATTATTGTAGTTATTTAAAATATCAAAAATTATTTTGTTTTTAAATGTAACAATATAATCTTTTATACATTGTTACTTTTAGTTATTATTGTTGTAAGTTATTTGTAAGTTACTTATTTAGAAATTATAATGTTTATGAAAATAGTTTTAGGAAATATTTTAGTTAACTTTGGATTACAATTTAGATTTTACATTTAACACTCTAATTTATAACTTATACTCACTATTTACAAAATAGTCGTTGGATTTTCTTTAAGTTTAAGTGAAATTTATATTTAAGTTAACATTTTAATGATATATTTAAATTAACAATTTAAATATTTTATACAAACTATTTAAAAGTTGTTAATTTAAATGAATGAGGTATCCATTGTAGCTATTAAAAGTCCCAACTAAATTTACTTTTTTGCCCCTATGTTTCTGGATATTGAATTATGGAATGTTTTGAATCGTGTTTGTGAACGAACACAATTGTCATCAGGTAATTTGGTTTGGGGGGAGACGGAAGGCGAGGGAAAACAGGGAAGAGTGTAGGAGCAGGTTGATTCCACCATTTGTATTTCAATTTCACAGTTTTAGTGTTTGTAACTCTTATTCATTTTGTTCTTTGTTCTTTTTAAGTTTTGAACACCAACTACTTGACAAAAATCCTCAACGAAAAATCTGGTCAAGATTGTGTTTCTACTTGGTAAACTGTATGATCGATCTCTTCTTTTACACCAAATTACAATTCTACCCTTCATAAGTTTTTCATTAAAGGATGCACTTGCAACTGCTAAAAAACTCACTTCAAATCGCAAGGAACAATTGATTAAGGTACTTCCATTAATTTATTTTTCTTTTTTTGTATTCATGTTGTAAAATTTCTTTTTTCTTGCAGCTTCATAAATATTTTCTTAATATGAGAGAATATAGTGACAAACTTAAAAGATGGGAAGACCAACTCCAGGTTAGTCTCTCTATTATTATTGTTTTTTCTACTTAATGCAAACAGAACAACGCTATAGTTTTAAATGAGTTTTTCATGTTTTCATGTTTATAAACGCTTTAATGAAATCTTTAATAGACTCTCTATGTATATATGTGTATGCATGTTTGTGACTTTTTCCTTATGAAATTAGTGTTATCGTTTTGTTATTTTGTTTTCATTTATAGATATAAATAATAATTTTGTTATAGATGTTAGAAATTCTTAATTTTGTTTATATTTTTAGACCAAAAAATGGAGAAACAATCTGAAGAATTGAGGGGCATATCAGGTAGATATGAACATGACAAGAAAGTTTGGGTGGCTGCAGTCAAGGAAGTAGGTATTGAAACCATACCACTCTCAGCTCTCTCTTCAAGCACACCACTGTGCTGACTCAGTTCCTTCCTGATCTCAATAACATGGTTTCTGCAGTTCAAGCAATGGGTGGGTAAATTAGTAAATTCATGATTAAATTTTCACCCTATTGTAAGTTTTAACATTTTCTATCATTACTTTTAGTTGCACAGTGTGAACATCTTAAAATCAAATACAACAAAGAACAAATCAAGGGAAGAAAGCTTCATAATCAATTTGAGGATATAAAAGGTGTGCAAACTTTTTCTTTTTCTTTTTTTTTAACAACCATATAAAGTTTCTAACTTTCTATAAATACTAATTTTTTTTTTATAGTTTCAGGAAACATGGTCAACCATGGTTGACTTTGATTCATCATCAAACGAACATTGCTTCACCATTGGTGGCTTCACTTTTCGATGTGTGCATATTTCAATATGGTGAAACAGAGACAGGAAAGACATTTACCATGGAGGGTGTTGAGGGAAATCTAGGGGTTAGTTACAGAACAGTAGAGGAATTATTCAAAATTACAAAAGAAAGAATTGATACTTTTGTTTAGCAGTGGAACCTACAATTACAAATGATTATGCACAAGATTCACCATCAAAGTTGTCTTCTCCTGGGCCAAAAGTCTGAAACTTCCACAACCTTTAGGAGGCACACAAGATGAATCTTCTTCATCTGAAAACACTCCAACAATGATAATGCGCATGGATGTTTCATCTTCAGGAAAGTTGCCAAGTCCCGGGTGGTATATTGCTAAATATTTATGTGGTGTTTATTTGGCAAAAGATCAGTTTTCCCTTCCAATAAATAAATGAATAAACTATGTCGCTTAATCTAAATCCGACCCCCGCAACGGCGGGGGCACTTTTCTAGTTAACTAATAAGATAGAAGAAATGAGATTGAAGTGACATGGTGACCAATGAGAGGTTAACATACGTCCTCATTAGAAAAATGGGTGCGTTTAAAATCCCCGTTTGGTTGAAGGACCAAGAAGAATTTAATCGAAACATAAGGGGCTAAAAAGGCACAACTAAACATGAATTTGATCAAAGAATGGCCCATCTTCGTGCCACTCTAACCAGCTTAGCTAATAGGCGTTTTTGTTTTTTGTTTTACATATTTACAAAAAATATTAATTTCTGATGTTGATAATATACACATTTACAGTTTTTTAGTTTTATATCGTTAACATGGTACTTCCTGTTTATACGCGAAAGCATTACAAGTTATACATGTAACTCACTAACTCTATGTAAACTTTCGTATCTTTTTGAATTTTAATTACTCCTTAATAATAATAAAAATCGATGCTTTTTGTTCGTTCGTTTTGGAAATTGGAAAACACCATATTACATCTAACAGCTTCAACTTCCAAGGTTAAATGCTTTACTTGTTGACAGACTATAACACTAAAAAAACTACACAACAATGGCAAACCAAAATTCATTAATGGGATTTCGTAATATCAACAAGCTAACTAGAGTATAGACTGGTTAGCCCGGCCCAAATTCCTGGCCGGTGAAAGCCTGAAATATCTTAATTACAACCTTTCTCAACTATGATAAAAAATCAACCAGATCCCTATTTATGTTAAAAGACCTAAATGCATATTAAAATCTTTACATATGCATGTGATTCACAACATGAACTCAACTATTCGGCACAATTCTCCAGACCATGCTTCTTGGTAATATCCATAGCGTTGAAAAGAATTTGATTCTTCATAGCCTTCAATTCATCTTCCTCCTAAAATCAAGACACAAAATTTAGTTTAAGTTACACATGAACTAGACTCACTGGATACCAATATTAGTTTTTGTTTGGTGGTATACATACCATCTTCTTGACATAGCATCCAAAACTAACATGAACTTTTATTCCTTTTACTTCCATGTCACAGAACGGACTTCTCTTGGCCAATAAAACATGTTTGTGGTTATCTCTCATCATCTTACATAGTTCATCTTCCACAGCCTTGAGCTTTTTAGAATCAGCTAGTTTAAAGACATGATTATGTTTGATACGATGGCCAATAGCCATCGTGAGGTTCTCAACTTTCTGTTATATAAAAAAAAAAAAATACCTATTCAACTAATTATAATTATAAAACATATGAATGCACTAATTGAGAAACATGTAACTTACTTACCTTCTCTTCAAAAAACTTGTTTGGAACTTTGATGGGTCTTAGCTCCGGACCCAAGATAGTTGTGGAATGTATGTCCTTTTCAGTTATCCGACCCACTAGTTCATCTTTATCATCGATCTGCAACACACAAAGACACAATTAAACCTTTAATATAGAAAACTAAGAAACATTTTACTAGGGAAAATTGTAGAAAATAGCATACCTTGATGATATGGCCTATTGGGAAATTTTCTCTTAGCATCACGCCTTTGACGTGATCGATAATCATCTTAAAAAATCCAGGAATAATGCCTAGCAAAATAAAATAAAAAATCACTTGATGCCTCTAACTCTCAACTTTTTTAAGAATATAAGAGATCAAGATTTTACCTTCTCCATTCTTAAGAAGATCGATCACTGCCTGCATGTTTCCGGTACATAACAAAAGCACAAAGCCAATCACAACCCCTGACGTCAATGGATCTTTGGCTTCAGTGGTCTCCATAGATGCGTTTTCTGGTATTTCAGTCATAGGATTGGAGGTTTTCTGAAGGTCCATTGTGTTGTCATCATCATCTGCTGCTACATAACAGATTGAAAGATTCCGTTTGGGTACCACATGAGAAGGGATCTGTAAGGATGTTTTGCTGATGATCCTGCAGCTTCTGGGTATTCTGTAGGTATACAAATGGTCATATGGCTTATAGCTAAGCCAAACCATCCTCTCAACACAAGATGTCTGAAAGAAAGTAATGCAAGTTTAAAATTAAATCTAAAAGTTATTCTTTCTAAATTCTTTTATAAACACAACCACAGATTTATATTAGCACAAGAAATGAGAACTGATTTCAAGAAATTAACAACTAATGATGAGATATCATATATCTAACCTATGAGTGAGAATAAATTGGATTTGTATCAAAACACTTGTTCCAGATCAGTGCAGATGTTACAATACCGGTAGTAAAACTCTAAATGTGATATTTAGTTATGTACACTAAACCCTAAACACATACATAGACATTGGCCCACGAATTCAGATGAGTTTTAATGAACAGAACAAGTAAAAAATGATCTCAGTACTCTAAACCCTAAACCCTACACTCTATAGCAGCCAGCAGAGTGAAGGAAAATGAAATGGGTATTCAACAAACAACTAATTGAACTTGTAATCCTAAAAGGCAACTCATTGTTCAGAACATCATTCACAGACTAATAACCAAATCATATTTGCCATTTCACATCGCGGATATAACAAAAACGCTGCAACGTCACGATTTCATACCTGTTCAACACACTGCAGAGATGATCGCGCCTTGGTCAGTATCTGTTCTCACTTCTCAGTTTACTTTTCCATCGGAATCCGAACAAAAAATGTGTCGAAGAAGAAGAAGAGAAGAGAAAAAAGGGTTTGTACGGATGGAGGAAGAAAGGGTTTGTACGGATGGAGGAAGAAAGGGTTTAGGCGGGTGGATTCATATATGGTGCGCAACCGTTTTTTTTTAAAAGTTTCTTTTTTCAACTTATATGTATAATCGGTATAGGAAGTAAAAAATGATTGATTTAAAAAAAATTAAATAAAAAAGAGAAAAATATATTAATTTAATTTTAAAAGCTTTGATTTCCCAAGTGATTAAATAATTATCGTATTTTTATGTTTTTTAAATAAAAAAAAACACAAGTAGATGCATATTGAAAACTAAAGGTAAACTGACATTAAATAATTTTTTATCAATTAAGCAGATAATATTGAAACTATTAGACATCTATAATACCCATTACTAATAATTATAACGATGGGTATCACATTATCATCACACAAACACTAAAATAATGATATACTTACCTCTATATTCCTCTTATTTTTTTATTTTTAAATAAAAAATATATATTTTTTATTGTAGAGAGAGTTAGACAAAGATAGAGAGAGAAAGAAGTTTATTAGGTGTCAGGAGTGGAGTTTGAACAATTTATTTGGATGACCGAAAGTATTATAAATTAAAATTAACGTTCATATACAAAAAAAAAAGTTTTTGTAATTAAACATCAAAAATAACTAGAAAAAGAATTACAACTCAGCCCGACGACCTTTGAGGTCTTTAAATTAATCAATTAACGACTTCGAATCAATCACAACAAAAAATGTAACCTTTAGCGACGACAAAAAAACGTCGCAATTGATGCCCCTTGTCGTCGTTAATACCTTTAGCGAAAACATGTTGTCGCTATTACCTCGTAGTTAATACTCGTTTGTCGTCGCAAATAGCGCCGTCTCTAATACTCGTCGTCACTAAATGTCTCCGTCGTCGCTATTAGCGTCGTCTCTATTGATATTCCAGCCACCGGTCGGAGTTTTTCCGGCTACTCTTCCCGGAATCAGTTGTCGTCGCAATTGGTCAATGTCGACCCTAAAGGTGTCGCTGCTAATGGTTTTTTTTTTTTGAAAAAACATATTATTTATGATATTAGTTTGTATATATTATAAAATGTAGATTTGATAAAAATACATAAATAAATACATACCACATTACATAAAACATCAAATATACCACATTACATAAACTATCTTATAAATCACAAATAAACATCTAATATATCATCCATAAACTATCTGATAAATCCAAAATAACATCATTCATAACATAAAACAAGAAATACTATGTGTCTTCGTCTTCCCCATCGTTGTTGACTTGGTTTTTAAACGAGCGGATAATGTTTCCAATGGCCATCATAAACGTCGGGTTTTGAAGAAAAGCATTCACATCAACATCCTACAATTAAGTCACAAGCACATTAAGTCATTAACAATTTAACAAACCATCATACCATCATACCACCAAATGAATTAAGTCGTTAACAATTTAACAAACTAGTAAACTACTCAATCATTTAAGTCTTTAACAATTTATCAAACGACCAAACTACCAAAAATTACTATAAATGCATCAAGTTCTTAACAATATAGCAAAGCTACCAAATTCTTTTAGAATTTAACAAGTACCTGTGTTGGTTGCGATGCTTGTGACTGTCTCTGCCAATGAGATGGATCACTTGTACTCGCTGTTGAAGAAGGTTTAGGCCCAATGCCTCTCACATGCCTCCTTTGAGCATCCAACACCTTCTCAAATATTGTGATCCAATCAATGGTGTCTGGATCACCACTAGAGTCGGCTATGTGATGAGTCTGTAGAGCAACCTCAGTAACTAAGGCATTATGTATTTCACAAAGATTGTCAATATACGTTAAAACTAACAAAAAAACAACAACAATCTACTTCATTTTTAAGTAATAATAACTTACATATTGGTCTTCAACCAAAGGATAAACAAATTCCCCTTTTTTTATTCACATGCCCACGATGAAATGCTTCAAGTCTATTCAAATTCTGTTTAACATTACAAAATATGTTATACTTGAATAAACATTAAAAAATATGTTATAACTGAATAAGCATTATTGTAACTTACGTTCTTAAAACAAGCACCACCGTAGATGCACGTCCCTCCACTATTCTTAACTACTTGCTTCTTCCGGCATTCTTTATTTCCAACGGATCGTTTTTGATGCTTTTCTGTTAAGAAGTGGTCAATAGCAGCATTCTAACGCTACAAATCCATACCCGTAGGGGCTTGAGCCCTTGCTGCCTACACATCCCCTTCAAAACCAGTCAAACGAGTTGTTGCAATATTTTAGTGGCCTCTATACCGCGCACATATCCGATTGTTCAATGACGTCCAATAAACTGGAGCCATGGGATCATTTGTAATCGCTCCAAAATCAAACTATGTCTACAAAAAAACAGAGAAATTAAAAATAAATCAAAATTAAACATATTAAATATATAACTTATAAATAATTTAACGAAGATACTCGAACATGCCAACTCGGCTTCAGAAACGTCAGTCCATGTGTCCTTATTGAAACCGATGTCGCACCACATATAGCTCCCAACCTCCCGAATGAAACATCAATATACTTCCCTAATCGACATGTGAGTATTTATGTCAAATATTATCTCCAGATGCCGGTTGTCGTTAGTTGCGAATAAATTGTACATTTTTTTGTTTGTTGACATGCCTTTTGGTTTTGGAGGCACTGCTGCATAAAAAAATATTAGTCAAAATAATTTTTTATATACATACAATATGAAATATAATGAATTAGAATAAATCTTATTTACCATCGATCTGGTGATCACCAAAACCTCCACCGAACGGATTTGGTGGCTCGTCACCACCGTCACCTCCATGGCCCATCACAACAACCACGATATGGAGCAATGCAATCCAAAAAAATGACATCCTGGAAAATTATAACACAATATGAATATATATATATATATATATATATATATATATTATATATATATACACACACACACACATATAATACGATATGATTACAACAAATAGAAACCTTATTTTACTAGTAAAATGTAAAGATTTTTTAATCATTCTCTCCCTCAGACACTTCAGTGTCTTTTGACATATCACTATCATAACCGGAATCCTCCTCATCATAATCAGTCTCACAATCAGACACATTATTGATGAAACCCGTTGGTGGACCAACTTTAATATCATCTTCAACCGATTAAGAATTTTGAAAATACTGGCTAAAGTCGATTGAAAGAGTGAAATTAGAAGAAGCATTACTAAGAACGACATCGGTTGAATCATTGTTGACATTTTCAATGGAATCATGGTCGACATCATTCATCGGTAGATCCCAAATTCTTCTATGATTAAATTTTCTACAACCCACCATTGGTTGTCATTTTCGTCACTTCGAGAAGGTTCTTGGATGTAAAATACTTGCTTGGTCTGGGTAGCAAATATGATTCGATCTTCGTTGCTCAATTCGTGTTATGGGTCGATACTGGTGAAATTATTATCAGATTTAACACTTGCAGTGTCGAACCACTTGCAACGAAAAAGTACAGTGGAATATTTATGAGGATAATGCAACTCGATAATCTCTTCTAGCTGACCATAATATTTTTGCTTATCATCTCCTTTAGTTAGAACCCTCGAGTTTTGTGTTGATCGTTGGGTGTCACGCATAAGTAGCATAAACTTAACACCATTCACTATGTAAGCGGTATAAATAAAGGCATTCGCATGCACACCAATTGAAAGAGACGATAATTCCTTGTTAAACTCTGGAGATTTTTGTTTTTTCATATCAAAGACCTTGTAAAGGAACCATTTAGGGAATTCGGTTTTTTCATCATTTTCAAGATGTAATAATTTGAATTCACTACATTGATGAAAAAAATATATAAATTTAGTAAAAAAAAGGAGAAATTAAAACCAGAAAATGAATTAAAAGAAAAGAACACTTACGCAATATACTTTCTGACTTCGTCACAACTATCAAGCACAAACCATTGTAGACGTTTTCTCTCATCTAGACTAAGATTTTTCATTTTCTTTGTGCTAGCCGGTCGACACTTAGACTGAAACACCTATAACTTTGTTTCTTCTATAACAACATCCTCGTTTCTTTCGAAGCGATTGAATCGAGTCTCGGCATCTTCAAGGTACATCGAACAAAATGATAATTCCTCTTCAGCGACATATCCCTCAGCTATAGAACCTTCCGGCCTCGCCTTGTTTCTAACATAGTTTTTTAGTTTTTTCATATACCTTTCGAATGGATACATCCATTTCATACATACTGGGCCTCCGAAAATTGCTTCATCAGGTAAATGCAAAACTAAATGAATCATAACATCAAAAAACGCAGGAGGATATATCACTTCTAATATTAATAATGGCTGCTTTTTCTTCTTTCATATCCTTCACCGATAGTGTTCTTGAGCAAAGTTGCTTAAAAAACATACAAAGCTCTACTATTGGTGTATAAACACCTTTTCCCAAAAGCCTTTAACTCCAATGGGTATCAAATGTTGCATAAGAATGTGATAATCATGATATTTCAACCCAATAATGTTAGTATTGGTTTCATTCACTTTCTTACCGACGTTAGATCCAAACCCATCCGCATGTTTCACATCTCTTATAAACTTACAAAAAATAATGCGGTCAGGTTTCGTGAACAAGTAAGGTGGATGGGGTTTAAGGAACTTGTTGCCACTCTTTTTTAACCAATGACTTTTCCGAATGTTCCGTTTTGTCAAGTCCCCCCAATCATTTGATGTGTCTTTAGAGTTATCATTCATCAGAGAAGTACCCAAAAGACTCTCACCCACATTTTTTCAATATGCATAAGATCGAAGTTGTGCTTCAGCTCCAAAGAAGACCAATACTCAAGTTCAAAGAATATGCTCTTTTTAGATCAATTCAACTCGAAATCCTCACGATCTTTCTTAATACCATCTCGTTGAGCAACTACATTACCCGGTGGACGAAACAATAGACGAGCATGTTGCGCTGGTATTTCTTCCTCACTAAACTGTTGATAGCTTCATTTTATTTACTTCTTTTTATAGTTTATTTTAGCATATTTCATTCACAATTTAGATAATTTCCATGCATATTTTCCTTTTTGTTATTTTATGACCACTTTCGGGTTCTTTCGAGTTTTGTGAGCTTAATTACAGATTTTAATAGCGGAGCGGGATCTTTTGGAAAGCAATTGGACTTGGAGGACAACGAGGATTTTAGGCTTGATGGCTATAGAGGTGATGCATGGAGTGGGATTGTCAATTATTTGAAGGGTTGGAAGAATTAAACTTTAAATTTGAAAGCCACGGGAGAATTCTTGAGTGTGCAAGATCGATGTTTAGGAATTTGCGGAAGTTTTGAGTGATGTGGAGAGACAAATTGGGCTCAAATTGAAGAAATATTGAAGAGAAATGGGCTAGAAGCAGATTGGATTCGAACTGGGCCAATGGATTAGCTGTGGGGGCCCAAGACTTGAAGAAGCCCAAAAATTTCCGTCGAAGTCACGCGGCCCGCGTAAGATTCCCCGCGGCCCGTGTGGATTCCTGACAAGGGCAATTTCGGGATTTTACTTAGAGCTCTATATTGGGAAGGTTGGTGTGCCTCTTTAGCATAATCTTGGAGGTCCGATTTTGATACTTTCTCTCTGGAGTTTGGAGCATTTTTTGAAGGCCAAGAACCCTCAAGAACTTCACCATTTCATCTCTTAATTCTTGCTAAATGTTTGGTACAATCTTAACTAACTTTGTTTCCTTGAGTTTAGTCATGCTTGGCTAAACTAATCTTGGTTGACTTTTGTTGAATCCTTTG